CTGGAGCTCAGGACACTCTCTAACTAGGTTTCAGGCATTTGAATGAAGTGCATTCTCCAACATTTTTCTGAGAAAGGGAAAATAGAAGGCAAAATTTTTGGCAAACATGCAAGTCTGAAAACACCCTATTTCTATTAATATACAAGATAATATTAATAGTTCTTGAGAATTCTGAATCCTAATTCTTTCACTATAACCTGGTATAGCTCTGAAAGTTTTTGTGATTTTCCATTTAATTCTCATGTCCTGAAATTCCATAACCCTGGGTCTAGCAGTATATGTTTTCATTTCATTCACTCTGTTGGATATTGAAGATAATTTTCTGTTAAGATGGCAAAAGAAAAATGTGATTTCTCTAGATCAGTTCCCTTTCTGTGGGATAAAGCTAGCTTCTGAATTTTAGGAAGCAAGATGAATAAAAGAGCTAAGAGTCTTTGAATTCAAGGAGCAGATCCGTACCAAATCTGCCTTTCAAGCCTACACCTCATGCCTTTTCTGGCACTTCCCTGTGTCCCTGAGTACAGGGCTTCTTAAACTCAGTTTCTCTAGAGAATAAGCCTCCTTTTCCGTGTGGGAAAAAATTAGTTACCTGATGAAAAGAGTTGTGGAGGAAACGTAGGCAGGGAGAGCCTCCTTTTTCAGTCTCATTCTCTACCATCTTTGACTCTTGGTACTTCCAAATACCAGTTGGGGGGATTTAAGGGACACTGATTAACTTTTCGTCCTTGATAAATTTTTCTCTTCTGACTTTTTGGTTACAGGTTTATCCTCTGTGTACAGATTTATCATTCCTCTATATGCTCTCTGTGTTTTAGAAATTTGTTAAAGTCTTCTTGACTATCTCCTGTACTCTTCCTACATTAAAAGACCTAAATGTCTAATATCCAAAATCTATAAAAAATGTAAACAAATCAACAAGCATTAAACAAAAAAATCAATTAAAAATGGGCAAAGGACATGAACAGGCACCTCTCAAAATGTGACATACAAGAAGCCAACAAATATATGAAAAAATGCTCAACATCACTAATCATCAGAGAAATGCAAATCAAAATCACAATGAGGTACCATCTCACACCAGTCAGAATAACAATTATTAATATTAAAAAGTCCAAAAACAACAGATGCTGGTGAAGTTGCAGAGAAATGGAAATACTTTTACACTGTTGGTGGGTATGCAAACTAGTTCAGTCACTGTGGAAACCAGTTTGGATATTTCTGAAAGAACTTAAAATAGACCTACCAGTTGACCCAGCAATCCCACTAGGGAGTATATGCCCCAAAAATATTTATTCTCTCAAAAAGACACACACCTCACTATGTTCACTGTAGTGCTTTTCACAATAGCAAAGAAATGGAATCCACTTATGTGCTCATCAACATTGGATTGTACAAGGAAAATGTGGTAAATAGACACTGATATGGTTAGGCTGGGTCCCCACCCAAATCTCATCTTGAATTCTAGCTCCCATAATTCCCACATGTCATGGGAGGGACTCATTGGGAGGTAATTTAATCACGGAGGCCGAACTTTCCCATGCTGTTTTCATGATAGTGAATAAGTCTCTATCAGAGACTTATTGTGAGGCCTTTCCAGCTGTGTAGAATTGAGAGTCCATTAAATCTCTTTCCTTTACCCCGTCTCAGGTATGTCTTTATTAGCAGCATGAGAACAGACTAATACATACACAATGAAATGTTATGCCGTCATAAGAAAGAACAAAAATTATGTTTTTTGCAGGACAATAGATGAAGTGGGAGGCCATTATCCTAAGCAATCTAATACAGGAACAGAAAACCAAATACCACATGTTCTCACTTATAAGTGGGAGGTAAACACTGAATACACAAGAACTTAAAGATGGGAACAATAGACACTGAGGATCACTAGATGGGGGAGAGAGGGAAGGGATGTGGGCTGAAGAACCATCTACTGGGTAATATGTTTACTGTCAGTGTGATGGAATAGCTGGGACCCCAAGCCTCAGTGTTACACAACTTACCTATGGAACAAACCTGTATTTGTACCCTTTAATTTATAATAAAAGTTGAAAAAAAATCATCTAGAACTCAATAGGCTAGTAACTGTTCTAAAAAAAGGCCTAATTCTATTCGTAATTGGCTTATTGTCATTTCAATGGGGGATACTGACATAGGAGAAAAAAAGAATATTTCTTATGTGCAGCACAACCGAAAGTCCCTAAAAGTAAATTTCTAAAGTAAAGTTGTTCATAAAAGGTAAAATTATTGACTCCTTTAAAAAAAATCTTATTTTGTCCAACACCAATTACATGGAAATTGTCTCAGGTACATATTCTGCCTAAACGGAACATTCTTTAGGTAACTCTTCTAGTAAACAGAATTACCTTTCTTATGAATCTAACTTTTTAGAGTACTTATTGGACTAGGAATTTTCTCAGGCAGACTCACTACATTTCTAGGATTACCATTTATCCTTCAATAAGGAGAGTTTCCAGTTTCCCTACTCCAGCATTCAAACCTGAAATTTTGAGAATGAGAAGAGTTATCTTCAAGAATATACTT